CGGCGTCCTTCTCCTCCTCGCCCCTCTCCTCCACGCGGCGGCGAGCGCCCTCTCCCTCGCCGGCGACGTCCGCGCCGTGATCGATTTGCTCGCGTGCACTCTGGGGCTCGTGTCGAGCGCCGCGCTCAGCTACGCCCTCCTCCCGTCACCGCTTCTCCGCCGCTCCTCGGCGAGCCGTCCCTTCACCCCGCGCGCCCAGTGTTGCGTCTGCCAAGACGCCGACGTCTCCATTCGCTTCTCGTGCGGCCACGCGGTTTGCTGCGGCGCCTGCTCTTCGGCGCTGCAGCGCGGCACTGCAGACCGGCCGTCGCAAGGATGCCCGATCTGCAGAACGCCCTTCGTCGCCGTCGACTCGGTGAGCTCTCCGCGATCTTCTTCACTGCCACGACCTTTTGACTTGCCCCCCCCCCCCCCCCCTCCTTCCTTTTCTAGGGGGGCCACGTCGCGCTGGAGCCGAGCTGGCTGATGCCTCCGCTGGGCTTCCCCACGGTGATGCTCTGCTGCGCCGTCGTCTGCGCGAGCACTCTGGCCGATAGCGCCGAGCTCTTGGCGCGGGCCCGGGAGCTCACAGCCACCTGCCTCGCTGGCAGCGCGGAAGCGGACGGCCTTGGGGCGGCGGTCGCGTCGTGCGGTGCCACCGCGGCGGCGTTGGTGCGCCAGCTGTTCTCTTCCCTCGTCCCGCGCCAGCACGGCAGCACGTTTGCCGTGTCGGGGCTGGCGATGCTCCTGCATCGCGGCGCTTTTGCGGGGATGGCTGCTGGTCGCGGTGCTCGGGGGGGGACAAATCTCCTCCTCCGCTACGGCTGGCTCGACACCGGTCTGGCTCTGCTGGCCGCCCTGCTGATGCCGCGTGCCGACCGGTGCGGCCGAATGCTGATGCAGTTAGCTTGCGTCAGCACGACCTTCACCTTCAATGTGGGTCTCCTCAGCGTGGCCGGCCATCTGCGGATCAGCGACGAGATTGACAACCTGCAGCTCGAGCCGCCGTTCACTCCGCGCCGCGCCGCGTGTGCCATATGCAGCGCGGTCGCGTCCTTCGCCCTGCACGGCTTGCTGCCCGTCGGCATGACTTGGCTCGGGCGCGACTTTGACGCATACTGGCGCCTTGCGTCGACCAGCCTGCTCGCGGGGTGCATGCGGTACTTTACCTCGCTTCTGCTTGACGACGATCCCGAAGGCGCCTCGCGTTCGCCTTTCGCCCCTCCCGGGAGGGCGTGGGACTTGTCTCTGGCCGTGGCTGAGCCGTGCCTGAGCCGTGCCTGAGCCTCTCCGCTAGGTGAACGTCCCCTCCTCACCTGCTTCCGCCGCTCCTGGGCCGCGAGCGACGGCCGCATGCTCCTCCTCACCCTCGTGGTGCTCGTCCCGCTGCCATTCGGCCTGTGCGGCAACGCAAAGCTTGCCAAGGCTTCCCCTCCCTCTCTCACCCCCCCCCCCCCCCCACCCCCTCGAGTAAGGCCGCCCACCCACACAGAGGCACAACCCCGGACCCGAGATCACGGCACACGGCAGTGTAGAACAGACAGACAGCGACGACAGTCGGAAGACACACTGGGCCCCAGGAGGGAGGACGTGATAGCGGCCTCTATCCGCCCACTCACGCCCCCCCCCCCCCCTCCTCCCCCCAAAGGCGTCCTCCTGCGGAGTGGTGCTCCTACTCGCGCGTGCGATGCGCCCACACGATAACGTCTCCACCACGCACAAGCTCGTCACGCTCGCGCACTACGGCGTGGGAACCCTCTGCCTCTTTGCGGACGCGCCGCTCCTCGCCCGCGCGCAGGGGCACCCGGCGATCTCGGTCGCCCTCGCCGCTCTGGCGCTCGCCCTCGCGGCCGCGCTCGCCGCCGCCTGGATGCTGAGCGTCGCCCTCGACCGAGAGAGAGCTGCGCACGCCCGCCTGGTCGCGCGCCAAGCCGCGACAAGGCGGCGGACGCAAGGAGAGGCCGACCAACTGAGGCAGCGGCTGTCCGAAGCCGCGGCCACGGCGTCAGCTGCGGCGGCTCAGGCGCCCACGCCGCCGCCATCGCACCCGCCTCATGGAGCGGCGCCAACGCCGCCGCCGACGACGCCGTGGCCGGGGGTTTGGACAGCACGCTGAACGGCTTGTTAGGACCCCCCCGGATTCCCCAGGGCAGAGGACCCTCCATCCATTCCACCGTCGCCGTCTTTGCTTCCCCCGCAGGCGGCCGTCTGGATGCCGTCCTCCGAGCTCCTCGTGACCATCCCAAGCGACCTGGCCGCTGGGCAGCGGATGCACATCTTTGTCGCTGGTGTGAGCGCGACGCTCACCGTCCTCGTCCCGCCCGACTTGCCGCCGACGCGCAGGATCCGCGTCGCAATGCCGCAGGACTTGCACGCCGCCGCAATGGAGGGTCGCAATGCCGCCTTCGCCGCCGCCGCCACTACGATCCGCTCCGCCGCCTCCCCCGCTGTCGCCTCCAATGCCGCCGCCGCCACCGCTGCCGCCGCCGCCGCCGCCGCCGCCGCCCTCTCCTCCTCACCAGCCGCCCTCTCCTCCTCACCAGCCACCGCGGCAGAGTGGGTGGACACGCAGAGTGACGCCGCCTCCCGCTCGCCTCGCGCCTCGCCTCGGCCGCCCCCTGCGGTGGCTGCGTTGGACGCAAGGATTGCTGCGGCGAGAGAGGCCGTGGACGCGGACGCCACGCCTGTGACGTCAGCGTCCCCTCCTCTGGCTCAGCCGTCTGAGCCGGCCTCTTCATCCTCGTCAACGAGGAGAAGGCGGCGGCGGCGAGTCGACTCGGCCGTCTTTGCCTCTGGATCGTCGACTCGGCTGAGCGGCGGGGGGGCGTCTGAGGCCGCAACGCCGCGGGCAAGCGGTGTTCGTCGCACCCGACCGACTGAGTGACATGAGAGAGAGAAGGGAGGGTGAGCATGTCTCTCGGAGAGTCGGAGTACTGTACGTATATATTCGTTTGAAATATAGCCGATCTCACAGACACTTTCGTGTTTCGACTTGAGCCGTTCACCTCTCTCAAACTCACAGACACAGAGCAGCCAATTCTCGGTCAGCATGCAGGAAAAAATAGTTTCGGCGGTCTGAGGCGGCCCAGCGGACCCCAGCGGACCCGTTGGCACGGCCAGCGCGCGTGGGGCACCGGGGCGACCCCCCATCCTCACTCGTGTCCTTCCTTTGGGTGTGAAAACGCGACAACCTCGCCGTCAGACGAGCAGAGCACCGTTAGACGGAGGGCAGGCGCGCGAGCGTCTCACCCATGCCTGCCTTGGCCCCGTGCAGCGGAGTATTTTTCCGTTCCGTTTTTCGGGGTGCTCTGTTCACGGAACGCGGATAAACGTGGGCGTCCGAGCGTCGCCTGTGCCAATTGCCGAGCTGCCAGACGGGCCTGCGACGGCAAGTTCGCCGACTGCGCCAAGTACGTGTCGCTACCCGCGACCGCCTCCGACGCTGCCGGCCCGTCCCAGCCAGCCTCGCCACCTCCGAGCTGGCCTGTTCGCTCCGATTGCCCTCGCCGCCGAGCCGGCTTACTCGCCCGCGGAGGAGATGCGCGACAGGACCGACCGACGCTACGATCTCAAGCAGCGGCGGACGTCGGAAGAGGCGGTGGTCGCAGTGGGAGAGCAGCTGGCCTCCGCGGGCTGGGCGGCCGATGCGGTCATCGAGGAGGATGGCAGGACGAGGAGCGGGCAGCTCGACTCCAAGCAGGCGGGCGGCCGGCTGATGGAGCTGCTCGTCCTCGCCTCCGCCTCCGTGTCGCCGGACGCGCCGCTGTCCCTCCAGCTGGAGCAGGCGGCTGGCAGTCTGGGCCAAGCGGCCGTTGTCGCCGAGGCTGCAGGCGATGAGCGGCGGGCATCGCGCAGGCAGGCTGGCATGCAGCCGCCAGCGGCGGCGGCAGCGGCGGCGGCAGGTGAGCCGCTGCCCAGCAAGGCGCTGGGCAAGCGCAAGGCCGGCGCGGCCGAGCCCCAAGCTGATGGACTTGGCGGCAAAACCCGGGCTGCCCCTGCGGCGCGACTTGGCCGGCCGCCGTCCCTCGCAGCCTCCGGCGCGGCGTCGATGGACGCCGTGCAGGCGATCGCAAGGCAGGCGCACGGCGCGCCCCGCAAGGCCAAGGCCGCGTTCGACGCGCAGCTGGAGGCCGCGGAGGGAGCGTCGTCGTCGACCACCATCGTCGCCAAGGCCAAGGCGGTCTTGCAGAACCTCTTTCTCTCGTCGGGCAACCTCACCGAGGTCGTGGAGGCGCGTTGCGGCGAGCTCGCTCCTCCGCCTCTCACCGCTCGCTCTCTCACACAGCTCTCCTGGTTTTGCTCGCGCAGGTGGTGGCGAGTTTGCTGCAGCGGCCTGAGCTACGGCCGATCCTATCGGCGCTAGGCTGGTCCAGGCGTGCGCTACGCCACCTTCCGGGAGCTGCTGGAAGTGCGCGCCAAGATGGACGCGGAGGCGGCGCACGAGGTCAAGGTTGGCGGCACGCTGCTGCTGGTCTCGCGCAAGAAGCGGCGCGATGCGGCCGACGACGAGGCGGCCTTGTTCCAGGAGTGGTCGCACGACCCGGAGGTATGCCGCTACGACTCGAACCAGCGGACCGGCGGCAAGCGGGTCCGCCGCTTTGACGCCGAGCCCGGCTCCGACGGCCGCATTCGCTTCGAGGTGCACGAGAAGCGCACGCTGCCCTGCTCGCGCAAGGTGCCGCGGCCGAGCCCTTGCCCGATCCCTGCTCCACCCGCTGCGCGTCCTCCGCGCGACCTGACCGCCCTCCTCTCTCTCCGGCCCCGTCTGCGCAGGAGCTCTGTGAGCGCTTCATCAAGTCGCCCGAGTACGAGGCCTTCCAGACGCGCACCGGGAAGGGTCCGCTCTCCGTCTCCTTCTTCCAGAAGCGCATTTGCTCGTGCATGGTCGACCCAAAGATGAACCAGTGCGCCGACCCCATCGACACGCAGCACAACGTCCTCTTTGACGTGTGGCGCCGCAACGTGCAGGGGTGGTTCGAGGAGACGACGTGCGGCCGCGAGGGTTGCATCTGCAAGGAGCAGGGCTTCCGCGACACGGAGTCGCAGGACGACCTCTTCGCCTTCCTCTTCTGCGGCGAGTGCGCCGCCGAGGACGACCCGACGCGAAAGCTGCCGCGCGACGACTCGGCCCCGATGCAGCTGCGCTACGACTGCGTGGCCGGCGTGTGCG